GAATAAAATTTCTATTGGAAGAATTATTAAATTTCTCCAAATTATTTTTTTAATTAAAAATCATATCCTAGCCCTAGCTAGTTTGGCTTAATGGATAAAATTTTGACCTGTGGACTGAAGTGTCCCGAGTTCGATTCTGATCAAGGGCACATGCTAGGGTTGCAGGCTCAATCCCTAGTAGGAAGCATTCAGGAGGCAGCCGATCAATGCTTCCCTCTCATCATTGATGTTTCTATCTCTCTCCCTCTTCCTTCCTCTCTGAAATCAGTAACAATATATTTTTAAAAAAAATCACATCCTAGAAAATGTTTACAGTCCCTTCAAATTCTAATAGTAAATAATTCTTTAACGAAAAGAATGTCTTCAACTTCTTGTCACATTTAGTCAACAATGAAGGTGAGAATGATTGACAAGTTGACACAAATGCCTACCTAATACCAAGGACTGCGTTGGAGAGCAGGGCAAGTGAGCAGGAGCAGCAGGAGTTGTAGCCATGTCCACACATCTAGAAGGTAGTGGCATTTATGAGTCCGTACACTTCATATTTCCTTCTCACGTTCAAACTGATCAGTCCCTTGGCTGTTATAATAATTACATAGTTTTATTCCTATTTCATGGATTGAGAACTAAATTTGGGGCAAACATTTGTTAGAGAGCACACTAATATTAAAATGTCTTATTAAATTTGGTCTTTAAGTCTTAGCATATTTTAAGGGCTTATAATATGTTCCCCTGTGTAATAAACATGCAACTTAACCCCATTCATGAGCAAATATTATAATTGCGTGCTAACAAGCCCCTTTAATTGGACAACCAAAGTCAGGTTTCTCTTCAGCCTGGATTAAGATATCCCTGAACTGTTCTTTCATGACTAGCAGCTTTGGTTTCATCACCATGGGTAATTACCCTTCTTCTTCCTAGGAGTTTTCAGTATAGAACTAAGAGCACTGGCTTTGGAGTCGGACAAATCTGGCTTTGAATCTTAGCTTTAACATTTAAACATATGAATGAACTCCCTGAAACTTGCTTTCCTATTTGTAAAGTGGGATCATTAAAAACATCTACTTCATGGAGCTGTTTTGAATATTTATTAAGATACTATGCACACAGCCTCTAGAACATATTGAATAATACATAAGTTTGGCTTTTGCTATATTTTGTCACCGTGGTTGTGATTTCATATCATCATCACAGGTAGCTAATGGCTTAGAAGCATCACCTGGAATCATCCATTTCTTTGCATTTGAAAATCTTCCCATGGTTTGCTATCCTCTAGGAGGCTGGGAGTATCCTCTGCAAGCAATTAGGGAGGACCACTCCAACACACACGTACTTTTTAAGCCTCTACTGAATCACTTTGCTAATATCTCATTGGCCAAAGCAAGTCATGTGGCCAAACCCAGCAACAAGGAGAAGAAATGGACTTGACCTCTTCATGAGGGAAGTTGTTAAATATTATGGCCATTTTTTTTTTAGTTTACTATAAATACTAAGCAATAAATAGATTCCTATGATCTTGAAAAAAATCCTTATGTTGATAATAATGCTTTGCTTAAATAATCATTTCTAAGCCCTGAGAGGTGACTTAGATTATGCTTTTATTACCATTTACAGGTGAAAATATCTGACATTTGAAAAGTTTAAATGCCATGTCTGAATCAGCTTGGACTAGATTTTAAAGCTTCTAATTGAAGTAATAGTTCTCCCGACAGTATTGGACTTGACTTATTAAAAGGCTTTTTTTTTTTTTTTTTTTTTTTTTTTTTAATTCGTGAGACTTTGGTAGCATTACTTTGTTTTTCCTTATGACCCAGTGGTCATTAGTTTCCTAGTGAGCTTGATCCTTAAGACATAAGAAAAATCCATTTAAAAATATATCAGATATCCTTCTCTCAAAACCATACAATCTAATTCTAGTATTTGTCTTTTGAAAGCATCGTAACCCATCTCCTTCAATGAACCATATTGTGAGAGGGTAAATTACTTGTGAAATGATTAAATGAGTTCTTAAAGTCATAATAAGTGCCTCCCTTTCAATTTCACTGAATGATTTACTGCCATCCTTGCCCTAGATTAGAAATCTGGATAAACAGTAGTCCTGAGAGCCTGACAAATTGCATGGTCACTTACAAGATTATGTAAGATCTAGATTAAGGTTCTATTTTAGGGCTACATAACCATGACCCACAGTGGTTCCATAACTGTATTTTGAAACAGTGCAATTTAAACCTAAAATTCAAGTTACTAACATCCCTGCCCTCCCATCCTTGATATTTATTTTTCAGTTGAGAAGATTAAGAATGTCTATTTGTATTTCACTTTATAATTTTCACATACTTTATTTAATTATCACAAAAGGCTAGGACATATAGTGATACTATTATATTTGTATCTCATTGTAGATGAGAAAATTTGGCTCCAAAAAGGATAGGTTACTTTTCTGAGATCACACAGCCAGAAATGAGTGGAGCCCAAACTAAGCATGCCTCCTCCCCTACCTGCCCACCCTCCTTTTTCTGACTCAATGCATATACTTTCTTCATGGTCACATCACCTCAGTTTACCTTTGCAAAGTGATAGAGAATACTTCATTCTCATCTCCAATACTATTTATTTTTTATGTAACTATAAACTGAATTAACAGTTTATTTAACTATTTCATAAGTCTTATTTTCTTAGTGATAGGATAAGCTTTTAGGCACTTTCTTTACCCCTCTGATTCTGCCACATCATTCACTATCCTGTAAGAACCCAAAAGGCAGGCAGCAAATACTTGTAGGAGCAGACCGACTCCTCACTAGGAATGACCCAAGCTGTCAGGCTGCAATGGGACTGTGATTGGTATTTTACTGCTTCATGTAGTTGCCTCTTTAATCCAAGCAGCTGTCAATGCCAGACTGCCCACGGGAATTCGCAGGTATGTTTTCTCCCCTTCTATTTAGGCCTAAAGTACATCTGCTCACATCCTACCTTCACCCACAACTACTGGGCCCCACATGGAGAGTTTAAAATAGCTAATGGGCATCACGACAGATATTTGAGGCACATTAAAGGGACCTTTCAACAAGCTGAAGCCCTTTGAAGGTCATTCTCTCAGGAGGCCTGTGGTAAAGGTGTAGGCAGTTCTCAATAGCTGCAGGGAAGGATGCCATCCGCTGGTTAGCGAAATGCCATCTCCCAGCTCAGCCTCCATCCAAACCCCTCACTTCCTTCCACCATTTGGGCATGTGCTCCTCCGTGGCTCAGCGTCCCAATCATACATTCTATTTGAGATTAGTCTTCAACTTAGTTAAAACATGTGATGTGTAACCTGCTCAGTTCTCCTGGGTTTTCACGTCTCCATTGTTATTAGACTTAGTTTTGTGTGGTTAGAAAATGTCAACATGTTATCACACTCCTCATCTTATACTTACTAGTTCCTTTCAAGCTTCACTCATGCTGCAGTGAGTGGTTGGACCCTTTCTAGATATTCATTCTTATATTCTTACATTTATTCAGAGGCATTTTGCTTGGTGCTGGGATTGTTATAAAAAGCAAAAGATTCCTGCGTGTAGTTATTATGGACTAATAAGGAAGAAATACTCAAATGGTTAGACTGATAAATGGGCATTGCAATTCTGGTAGGTGATATAAAGAAAGAAGCACATGATTTTCCACAGGGCTAGACTAAAATCAGGCAGATCAGAGAGCTTTGTGGGGGAAGTGACTCTAGAACTAAGATCTGGAGGCAGAAGAGAGTTTACAATTCATAGTGAAGAGAGTCAAGTAGAGGGAACTTATGATACACACTGACCCATATCACCAACTGATACCAGCAACTATGGTACATGCATCAAGAACTGTGGGGGGGGGAGGGTATAGGGGTGGGCAAGATATATATATTATATATATAGTAGGGAAATTTGACATTGCCTGAGAGAATTAGAGATGTCCTCAAGGAGTGTCAATTAAATTCAATTAAAAAAAATGATGAGTAAAAATTGTGTGAAGAAGAGGAAGTGAAAGAAGGTATCATTTGCAGAATGACTCAGCAATGTAGAGACTGTAGGGAGGCCGAGCAGATAGAGGAGGCAAGGGAACAGAGAGGGACACAGACAGTGGTCTTTCAGGTCATGGTAACATCTTACACTTAGGCATAATCATTCTATTGTTACAGCTACATCTAAAACAGTTTTCCTGGGATAAATGTTTTTCCACCAACCTCAAAAATAAAATACTAATTGAAGGTCCAACTGATGTGCCTCTAAAATATCAAAATAAAATTATGAGAGAACGCGGGTGGGGGGTGTCTAAAAATGATCCAGGTTGGTAGACTCCAAATTGAAGCTCAGAATGAATGAAACCCGAAAGAGGACACTTACTCTGTAGGAGTTATCTCTTCTCGCATAACTGCCACAGTTCCCCTTTCTTCTCATGTTTAGTTTCCTGAAGGTGATATGGGTACTCCTGCTTTGTGAACTTCCTCAGATCTAGGGAACTTGTCCTCACTGCCTTTCTCATCTGACTTTCATCATCTTCAGTCAGGTACTTCAATCAAAGTAAACCTCAAAGAAAATGAACTTAAATTTAAAATGAGCCTATATTTTTTTTTTCTTTTCACTTTCCTAAATCTTTCCTATACAAGATCTGATCAGTAATAGGTATTCAGTGGACGTAGTTCTAAGAAATCTAGAGTGAATTTTATCTCAACAGCCTACTTTGATCTTTAGCAGGTGAAGAAATGAGGTGTTTTGTTTATATCTCCCCCCCCCCCTCAAACTCCCCAGCTATGCCTATTTGCTATACAAACAGAATACACCTTGGATAGTCAATGTGTTGTCTTGCAATTTTTTTCTTTGTAGTCAATCAAGAAAATCAAGTTATATAATAATTGTGTTTGTTTATCATCATAGAACAAATAATTTAAGAAAGAAATTTATTATGTAATTGATATAGATGATGATAGAAAATAATTCTAAGACAGTGATTTTCATGACTAAATATTTATTATTCTAATGCAGGATGAAGAAGAAGAAATTAAACAAGAAATTAACATGTTGAAAAAATATTCTCACCACCGGAATATTGCTACATACTATGGTGCTTTTATCAAAAAGAACCCACCTGGCATGGATGACCAACTCTGGGTATGTAGTGCTTGCCAAAATTACTTTTCTTACATGAAGAACAACCAGGACTAAATGGTCTATTTCTCTATCCTCATGACTAAATTTGATTAAGGAACTCTTTAGAAACCCGTAGCCCAATAATTTTCATAATATTGTTGTTTTAAGGTTTTCTCCTATTTCTTTGAATACCTCTCTGTCTTTTTAGTATCTCTCTCTTCTATCTTTTAATGTAGACCATCCTTAAAGCCAGTTGTTCTCTGTCGTTGTTTTTTCCCATTAATGACTACCTATATCAGTTTTTATTGTATTTCAAGCACTGTACTATTTTTTTTTCTGGGTTATATAATTTATTCTGGCTCTTTGAGGTAGACATTATTATTATCATATTCATTTTTTGCATAATGAAACTAAGGTTTATAGAGAGGAGAAGCAAACTCTCTCAAGATCTAAATAGCTAGAAATGGTGGAGCTGGTATCTAAACAAGCTCTACATGATATGCTCTTCTTATCTATCACTGATGTGTGGATGACTGACATTTAAATTCTAACTCTATGAGTGAAACACTTATGATCGTGTCTCATACCATGTAGGTACTCTCAAAGGTTGCTTTCCTTCTTTCTCTTGTCCACTCAGATATGTGCCCTAGTACTATATCTTTGACAGTCTATAAGTCAGATCTAATTGACTGTTCCTTTATTTAAAAATTCAGTAATCTGATACCAAAACCACTATTCCTATCCCTTTCCAGCCCAGATTGCTCTTCTTCTCACTTTCCTGATTTTTTCCATTGCAAGTTTTATTCACCTTGTCCTATGGGAAAGCTTATACTGCTTCCTTGGTTTGACCATCCTATGCCAGTTCAATGAAAGTGTAGATTTTGGAGCTTCTCTCTTTCTCTCTCTCTCTCTCTCTCTCTCTCTCTCTCTCTCTCTCTCTCTCTCACACACACACACACACACACACACACACACACACACTCCTCAGTTCATCTCATATATTATTCTTAGATTAATGGTTCCAAAAATACCTTTTTAACTATTTATCGTCTTGCTTATTTTCCATATTAATATGTGTCTAACACACAAAATTCACTGAATTATCAGTGCTTAATATATATCAAATTATATATTAAACTGTATGTATCAAATTACCATTATTTCATAGATAACTTGCCACAGAACTCAGTTTTGAATGGAAGAAACTCTCTTAATTCATATGACACTTATAGCCCAGCTGAAAAGAAAAAAATATATACAGTGACCACAAACAGGTATCAAAAAGAATATAATAATGTTGGCTCAGAAAAATAAGATTTTCATGTCATTTGATATTGAATACTACAGTTGTTGAAAGTGAAAAGATCTGCTGGGAATATCCCTCCTCCCCAATAAGACCAATCTCTAAATTTAAAATAAAATGTGTGCTTTGAATAAGTAAACCCAATTTGTATGACCACATTGATTTTATATATTTTTATGTGAACTCTGAGTTATCATAAGACTTAATTATGGCCTCTTAAGTGTACGTTAGATGTAAATATGATAATTAAAAACATAAAAGTAATAAGAGAAAATAAATGTGACTTTATAATACTAAATAGAGATATATGAAGTTTCTTATTATAAAACACAAGGAACGAAATAAAAATCCAAATAGCTAATTTAGAGAAAATATTCATTTCATAAATGGTAAGAATTTAATAGCTTTCCAAGGAAAGAATTTTTATAAATCAACTAGTGGCCTGGTGCATGAAATTCATTCATGGAGTGGGGGGGGGGGGGGGATGATCCCTCTTTCCAGACTGCACCCTCTCCAATAGGGGACCCTTTGGAGGATGTCCGACTGCCAGTTTATACATCCTTCTTGCAATCTGGAACCACTGGCTCCTAACCGCTCACCTGCCTGCCTGCCTGATTGCCCCTAACTGCCTCTGCCTGCCTGCCTGATCGCCCCTAACTGCCCTCTCCTACTGACCTTTTTTTGCCCCCAACTGCCTCTGCCTGCCTGATCTCACCCCCAACTGCCATCCCCAGCCAGCCTGATCTCATCCCCAAATGCCCACCCCTGCCAGCCTGATCTCACCCCCAACTACCCTCCTCTGCCTGCCAATTTGGTTCTGATTGGTTGGTTTCTATGCCAGTCAGTCAGCATCAAAAGCTCTGCCTCCTATGCAGCCATTGGCTCCTCACAATTGACCCAGATTTGGTTCTGATTGGTCAGTTTCTATGCCAATCAGTGTCAAAAGCTCTGCCTCCTCGGCAACCATTAGCTCCTCACACTTCACCCAGATTTGGTTCTGATTGATCGGTTTTTATGCCAGTCAGTGTCTCTGGGCCTATCAATAAGGACTGATCAGAAAGGTGGGGCTGATCAGCAGCCCCAGTAGAGACCTGGTGAGAAATGGAGGTGTGGCTACTGGTCAGACTGGGAAAGAAAAAGAGAGACAAGTGCTAATCAAAAGCTGCCACAGAGGCAATGGATCACTTCCTGCTTCTCTCATCAAGCCTCTCTCTGACCCTGATTCTCAGCCTCCCTCAGCAGTCAGTGCTGGGGCACCATTCCTGCAGCAGAAGCAGTCAGCAGCAACCCAGCAACTGTAGGACTGACTTCGGGTTGGTCAAGCCTTGGTCATTTTGACCCAAGGTTTTTATATATTAGGATACGAAAAATATGAAACTACTGATAGTTTGAGTAAAGAACAAGGCAGCAATTACAAAGTAAGAAGTAGCAATAACCAATAAAGATGTTTTTAAAAGGTAACTTACTAAAAATATAAATGCAAAAGATGAGAATTAGATATCATTTCTTACCTAGCAGATTAACAAAGATTTTTAAAATGAAATATCAAGAATAGACATATACACCCCTGCTTATGGTAATAAACATTGGTGCAGCTTTATTCAGGAGCAATTGGAATATATAAGATACACACACACACACACACACACACACACACACACACACACGTCTCCCAAAGAAAGGGCTTTACATGAAAATAACCCAGTATGGTTGGAGAGATTTCCATGATGGCGGCTTCCATTTCGGGCTACACTTTCAGGGCTGTGTGTTTCCACAGTGCCAACAGCAATGATGATCACGAAGGATTTTTGCTGGGAGAAGTGAGACAAAAGGGAAACCTTTAGCATCAGTGACTCCCGAATCAGGAACACAGTTTCTGCAAGTCATTGAAACCCATAACCATCAGCCTTGTTCAAAGTTTTTTAGTTTTTATGATTATGCAAGCAAAGTTAACAAAGAGAGTTTGAACAGGATTCTTAAAGATCAGAGAAAGAAAGTGATCAGGTGGTATAGATTCCCGAGGAATACACAGCAGCAGATGTCATACAGGGGGCAGGTCCTTCACAAGCAGCTCACCAGCATATTTGGGGTGCCTGACTGCATCTTCCTCCTCTTCAGCTTCATCTCCACCACCAGCAATTCCATGCATGCTCTAAATGTCCTTTTCAGACCAAACCAAAGGTATAATCAAAGGATCTCCCTTGCTATTCCCAACCTGGGCAACACCAGCCAGCAAGAGTATAAAGTGTCTTCAGTACCACACACACCTCAGAGTTATACCAAAGTCATGGCACTGTCTTCTTTGACAAGCATGGAGTCATGAAGGACATCAGGACCATCCATCAGGTTTACAACACGCTGCAGAGGAAGGTGCAGGCAGTGTGTGCAGATGTAGAAAAGAGTGAGTGGTTGAATTTTGTGAGGTGGAGGTGAACAAATTAAGAAGAAGACAAACCACTCGGAGGAAAAATGAAAAAAAAAAAAAAAAGCAAGAAGGCTGCAGCAGGCGATGGTCAGCAGACAGGTCCCACCTGAGAGTCTGGAGCCGGCGCTCCGCCCTCAGATACCATACCCGGTCTTGCAGCTGATGGTGGAAGTACATTAGCAGATGCCAAGGTCTCTGATCCCCCACCTTCTTATTCAGATTTTCACCCAAACAATCAAGAAAGTACTTTGAGCCATTCTTACGTGGAAACAGGTGTCTTTATGCCTCGACCTCAAGCCATGGGTTCCTCTAGCTTTGCCCCAAAAGTGCCGGACTGAAGTACCTCGAAGGTGGAGCGGGCCTTTCTCCTTCACAGAGAGCCACTGGGGACAGCATGGAGTGGTCAGACGGCACTGGTTATAAAAATCTGACTGAAATCTGATTGACCTGACAGAGCCCTCCAGTAGCGAATACTCATACTTAAGGGATTCTTGGTCCATGACACATCCCGCAGGGAGCTCCAGGAATGCTCAGACTTCCCAGATTTAGCTACACAGAATAAACTCCACTCAGCACTATTTTATTAATCACTATTGAGAGAAAATAGTTTTTTGAGGACTTAATCTAGTGGGAGAACTGCTTTCTCAGACCCCTCGGCACCCAAAAGTATCCTAGGCACAGCACTGGCAGGGCCTCGCAGACCCTGTGGGCAGGTGTCAGGACAGAATCATTAAGATAATCAAGTTGTCCTAATTCTGGTGCCATTCATGGTTATCCTGGTAAATTGAGGCAGAGAAACTTGTCAACATAGTTTCTGTTCTTTAAAATAAATTGGAAATCAGAGACTAAGCACAGTTAGTCTATAAATGTTCCGTAAATCAAAACTTACCTCTTGCACTATCTTGTCTTGAAATTTACCTTTTCAAAGGGAAATGAGTTTAGCAGCAGCCTTCAAAGAACCTTCTTTCTGTGATGGGCCAAATTCATCTTTACCAGAAAGATGAATTTGGCTCATCATAGAAAGATTTTAATAATTCCAAGAAGCCTGATTGGACCAGACCAGATGTGCCTTCTCTTGTCTGCATGACTTTGTAAGATCAAAAGAGAGGGGTTTGTTTTAACTGTTTTCTACTAGCCTGATACGTGTTGTCACTTAAAATGGTTGCCTTTAAAAACATGTAGAAGTACTAATCATCCAAATAAGTATGTCATAAAATAAACTCCTTATCTTTTGTGGGGGAAAAATAATAATAACTCAGTACTTCTACATACAGGAATGTATCCTAAATAAAT